GCAGGGGAAGCTCCGCAGAGAGCGGATACGGAAACAGAGAGCCGGAGAATACTCCTTGTAGAAAGCGGAAGAGCTGCCCAGATTTTTAATTAAAAATTATGAAGGCTTCCCATTTACTTTTGGGATTGATTAGGATGGCTGCTGTGAATGACGAAGAAATATGTTTCCCCAAACTGATGGCAGCTGATAATTATAAGTTACTTAATAATAAAAAAAATAGTACTAAAATATTTTAAAACGAAAATTTTTTTGAGAAAATGTTTAATAGAGGCAACCATGAAATTTGTGTTTGTTTGAACAAATTGAAGGACATTTCAAACATATGTATTAAGAAAACTTGTCCCCCCAAACTAAACGAATCACAAACATTTTACCAAAATCTGGAGGATTGAAACGCCAAAGTGTAAACAATGTCAGTGTCAGCGAGAAATACAACCATTAGTCAAGATTATGGGAGTATCTTTAAAGTAAGTAATTGCTGGAGAACAGGGACAAACAGAACTTCCTACATCCAAGGTCCTTTGCATGCGATGATTAGCACCAGTCGGGCACCTTAGATGGCGATGCAAAAAAAAAGTCCGTGCAGGTTACCCAGGCGTTGGGCGAGGAGCAAAAGGCTAAGAAGAAGGATACTATGCACTATTACAATGTCGAGACTCTAGCTGATCTGCAGTTTCGCTCCCAGATCAAGGTGATTCCAATAACTATTACAATTTAAAAAGTCGTCTGCTAAAGTCGCTCAAATTTAGGTCCTGGAGAAAGTCGATGACGAGGAGGTGGACATGACGCCCAAACCGATACCAAACGACACCTACGTGGAGCAGTTCATGAAGTACAACCTTAACGTCCTGAACCAAATGACGAACTTTACGACGATGCTGTCCAAGAGCACAACCAGATCCCGTACGCGGTCCAGCGTGCGGGCCGGAATAGGTGGCAACAAGCAGTCAATAGATGATCTGATGAGCGGGGTAAGTTAAATTTAATCTTCCTTGTGGTCAAGACCAGCTTAAAATCAGTTGCTCACTTTTTTCTTTTGTTAAGTTGATCAATTAATCTTTGTTCAACTGGTCAGTTGCTGGTCAATTTCTGACTACAATTTTGCTTATTACTTATCAAAGATTATCAATAACATAGAATGGGATTTTATTTGAGATTATGAACAGCTTAAACAAAGAGTTATAAGAAACATTAATATAAAAACATATAAAAACAGGAGGTGGTGTTTTCCGTCTTTTTCTATAGGGCAGTTTGGGTTCTTTTTTAATTAGTCTCATTATACGTATTCAACAAATATTTTCCAGTATTTTCCAGTATTTTTAGTAAATGACAACAAAGCATGCTCAGTTCAAACACTTAAGTGAACCACTCTTTTTTGCTCAATCATTTATGAACAACTTAACTCTACCTTGACCCATTATGTTTCCCGAAGATCATGTCCGAAACCATTAACTGGGACCCGTACAGCACCGTTGAGGCCCACGGACAGGCGTACGAACCCAAGCCGTACACCAGGTCCTTTGTGAAGATCACGTTGCGCAAGTCGGACTTCTTCGAGCTGCACAGTCAGGCGCAGTCGACGGTGGCCAAGGGAACGCCAGAGGGCGACGAAACGGAGCGGGACAACCGCAACTACGAATACCTCACGGTGGGCAAGGGCAAGATCAGGCGTCGATCCGACAACGATGCCCAGACGGAGACACTGCTGTTCACCACGAGGGCCGTAAACACCATCCTGTTGACCAAGGCCACAGTCAGTTCGTACGTGTCCAACTTCGAAATGTATGACACGCTGAACAACATCAGCAAGGAGTTCGCCACGATGGCATCGGTTAAGGATCTGGCTTCGGCTCTAGCGCAGACGGAGGAGGCAGAGAGCTTTGAGGACGAAGAGGACATGGCCGAGAAGGACAAGATCACGTCCCAGATCGAGCGGTTGTTTCGGAACCCTGAGTTCCGTAACGCCATCATGTACATGGGCCGCACGCTCTCGAGCAACACGAATGAGGCGGGATTGCGGCGCTTCCGGAACTTCGACCAGGTTGCGCGGTGGAACGCAGAGGCCGAGTATGTCTACTCGATGAACCTGCTCTTCCGTCTGGTGCCAGAGCCCAGCAATAACGAGCGCAAGGCAGTCAGCGACATTGACATCTGCCGCAGCAACGGCGACATCCTGGCTGTGGCCTACGGTTTATACTCCTTCTCCTCGCAGCATGTGCCCACATCGGGCAGCGTTTTCCTATGGAGCATCAAGAACCCGGGCGAGCCGGAACGCGCCTATTACTACGATGGGCCGGTGACGGCAATAAGCTTCTCGCCCTTCCTGCCCAGCCTGTTGGCAATCGGGCTTTACGACGGCAGCGTCGAGGTGCGGGACGTGAGCAGTCTGCAGGACGTGCCCATCGCTGTGTCGCAGAGGAGCACCTCGCCCGGATCCTCGCCGGTGGTGGCCATCCGCTGGATCAAGCAGGTAACAGACGACGGCGATGAGGCGGAAATCGACCCGTTTCTAAGCCTCTCGCAGGACGGCTCCGTCACTCGGTTCCGCATCATCAAGAGTCCCTTTCTGCTGGGCTTCAACCAGATGACTCTGGAGCGGGTCGAGGGTCATCCCGAGGGCATCTTCGTGCACCCCTCGTCGCGGATCCCCTGCGAGTCCAACCGGCACCCGCAGGGCTTGAGCCTCACCACTCACCCTCTGCACAAGGACATCTACTACGTGCTCACCGACGAGGGCTGCATCCACAAGTGCTCTATCAACTACCAGCACCAGTATCTGGAGGTCCTGCGCTGCCATGACGGAGGAGTCACCGTGATGGAATTCTCGCCCTGGTCGCCCAAACTGTTCCTCACCTGCGGCAACGACTGGTGAGTGCTAGAGGCCCAAGAAGTTCCTTATTAACGAGATTAACCAGGTTCGTGCGCATCTGGATCGATGGCATCACACGACCATTACTAGAGCTGCAGGACGAGATGACGCCGGTGCACTGGGCCAAGTGGAGTCCCACGCACTCCACGATCATTGTCTCAGTCAACCGGGAGACCGCGAACGTCTGGGACGTCCGTCGTAACTTGCTACGGCCCATGTCCAAACACAAGATGGACTCCTCTTTCAACACTGTAGCCCGGTGAGTAAAAGCCTTGTTTTTCGAAATGTGTTTCGGGATCTATGATATCAATTTGTTGCTTCTAGATTCTCCCACTGCGGGCGCACCCTGGTTATTGGCAACGAGCGCGGCAACACACTCTTCCACGCCCTCAACGACATGCCCTTTTCGCCACACTTCCAATATGATGAGTTGGAGAAGGCCATATTCAAGGCCATTGGCAACAACTATGAGCTTTTAATGGAGCTCAAAAGCATTGGCTTCTTCGGCTATCCTAACAAGAAAGCTGTTTTCTAGACCCCATGATTTGGTTTGTTGTGAATAAAGACCATAATAAAGAATGGCAGTGCATTTACCAAGACAGTTAAACAAAACAAGCCTGAATGCCAGTGTAGAGTCAAGAAAAAGGCAAAGTCAAATTTAATTTGGATTAGCGATTGGCTTGCTTTGGTCTTATTAGCATACCATTCCTAGGGTATAGCGCTGTTTGACCAGCAAGCTTACCGATAAGTCTATACAGTGTGCGATTACAAAAACTTATGTGAGCACCCCTGGTCTTAGCTTGTAAAAATGATATCCCCAGCTTCGATTCAAAACACAAGGGTTCATCGACACAGAAGCCAGACCACTCACAAACAGACCAACGAAATGTGCCAGCTTCAGCGATCCCGAAGCAAGACATAACGGATTGTTATGTCGGCTCATCAGTTTCGCGGGAACGATCGAATGTCAGACAAGACTACCCCCGAGATGACAAGGTAACCCGATGCCATCCAATGTTACGGACCTTACCTGGACGAGCAGAACAATCAGTTCAAATAGTTGTTCAGCTTAGGCGAGATCAACTCCATTCTTCTTTGGTTTGCGTTCGAGTGTGTGTGGTTTGAGTGTCAACGATGGTGGTCAGAGTGTATAGGGGTTAAAAGGGAGGGCCTAGCTTGCGGCGATCGGAGGTCAGCGGGTGTTAAATAACAAATAAACACTTGTGCACACATTAGCAATGCAAATGGAAGCCGCAGATGAGAGAAAGGGAAAATGTATTAAACAGCAATAAAAAAAAAAAAACTGAACAAAAGAAGCGGGCAGAAGAGGGGACAATATCAAAGAACGGACCATAAATGCCCCAAGATCTACGGCGTGTTACAATTTCAGCCCGAGCCGAAGGCTGAACGGACAACTAAACAAAAAGCAAATAAAATAAATGTCAAAATTCGAGGATCATAAATAAACAGAGACCACCGCATTCGATGGCCGTAAATTACACAGCACATTCCTGGAGAATGGGGCCCAAACAAACCCTACCCAAAGGAAAACAAAACAGAAATCAAAAAAGGGGCAGACTATAGCACTGTTGGATGTCATCATCAGTGACGCGATCCTTGGTCCGGCCAACAGCATTAATTGCTGGAAAAAATCTGCGGCGCGCCGTTGCTGTCGCTTTTAATGAACATTTAATTGCAGCCCACATGCTCGCCAAGCAACGAAGTCCCAAGAGCAGGACTCGCAAGGGCGAGTATAGCGCGGGGGGCACGAAGGCTGCGCAAATTGAAAACAAAGTGTTATTGTCGAGCGGACACAGCGCTGACAAGGAGATAAACGAGCCTACAGAAGCCGCCACTCCACTGAGGCCATGACAAAGCCGAACTATCAAATCAGCAATAATGACTGCGACGACGACGGCGACAATGCTGTGGCTGCCAATATAAAGTTGCGAATCATAGAAATCGTTGAGATTCATATGCCCAAGTAGGGACTTCTTTGCCTTTCCGCGGGCAGACGGGGTTTGCATTTAAAATTGACCATAAATTCGTCTTACGTTGTTTAAAACAGTTTACGTGCTAATTAATGTATGTTTACTGCAATAATTGGGCCAAGCGAAGCCAGGAAACTCACCTTAAACAATATATTTTCATTGATTCAATCAAATGACAAGTATTCTTCAATATGTTGATTTTCTTCTTTAAGTCTGAATGTGTAGCAAAAAGGGGGAATGCTCTAAGGTTTTATTTCGATCTTCTTCCCTGGCCGACCCCGTCCGTCGCAGATCTCCCTGTAGCGCTTCTTCCCGAATGACTCCTTTTCGGAGTAGTCCGAAGAGTCGCTGCACAGAAAACACAGGGATCAGCATAGTGGGGTTTCACCTGAACTGTACTCACTCCACTTCAGAAACGTCAGAGAAATCGCCATATTCTATCGGTCCGCTGCATAAGCAGCACTTCTTGTAAGACTTTTCGAAGCATTCATCGCAGTAGACGCCCTTGCAGCCTGGAGTGTTGCAGGGGTTACGAGTCGAGCTGGAAAGGGCATGTCCGAGTAAAGTCTGCAGAACGGGTTGAGCTACTCACGATGTCAGGGATATGCCGCATATGGTGCATCTCTCAGTATTTTGATAGGAGGAGCAGCAGCAGCTCCAGCTGATGAGGCATGCAAAGCCCCTGCTTAGCCAGTTGAAACATAAAGGTTGCTCCACATTCCGCTTATGATTGAACTCATTTCGCTTCCTGCGACGTATAAACTTAAAGATGCTTGCTGTGTAATATATATATTAGAACTACTCAAAAAGCAATGTTTTTCTTACATCTATCATCTGAGATCTTTTCGTATAGGAAAATGGCTCTTTCCTTGGCTCTCTCCGGGTAAAAGTAGGCCATTATAAGATGACGAGTGCGCAACACATACGGCTCGGCCAGCACCAACAGCCAGGCGAGCAGGCAGAGCAACAATATCAGGACATACTTCGCATAGTCGGGCTTCACGGGCAGCGGTAGGCAAGGATTGGTGTCCAGGACGCTTTTCTGGGTGAGGGGTCGAAAGGCATTCGCGATTCCCCGCATGATGTCGGCCACAAATCCCCCGCCCTTGATATCCAGATCGATGTAGGCGGGCACCTCCAGTCCGGCCTCCTTGTGGCCGTAAAAGGACATTGTGGCCAGCAGCCAGAACAGCCCGTAGTCAAGAAAGCAGATAGCAAAGAGCTGCAGGCAGGTGGTTATCATAAAGAAGACATTTTCAACAATAGTCGCGAGCTCGAAAAGTGTCAGACGTAAACTGGTGAGCTGCAATTACATAACATAGCAATAGGAAGTGATGAAGTCTCCAAATTTGAACCTAACCTTCATGTATTTCGCCTTCTCAAGCCGTTGCAACGGCAGCAAAACAGGGAATCCGTGTTTATCGTGCAGCTTGTCGATATCACGTAGCGTCTGAGTCAGGAACACATTCTGAAATTGCCGGCTGTACATGTAGCGCAGGTAGAAAATGATGGCTCTGAAGGAGACATTCAAAACATCACCCAAACTAAATTGGTAACCTGTTGCAGTTCTTGCCTACTTAAAAATAACGGTAACCACCATGACCCAGCAGAGAATGTCCATGAAGCTTTGCAGAAAGATAAACGGTGAGAGTCGCTGGTTGATGTCTTGGATTATCTCTTCGCCCACGTCCGCCAAACTCTTGGAGGAGTTTGTATCGAAGAAAAACTCGTGCTGGAAGGTGATATTGGCATCAAACATTTGCTCTATGTGCCTTACAAATTCACGGTAGCCTGAGAGATATTAAAATATAATTAGACAACGAAATCGATTGTTCTTCGTGGAATACTTACGCTCTAAGATCTTGTCCAGCAGGGCCCAGCTGTGGTCCCAGTAACCGCTACAAAACACATCGAGGATTTTTGCGGGATAGCACAGGGCCAGGAATAGTTTGGTGGCATGGCAGAGCGCCTTAAAGACGCCCATCTTGGCCTGGCAGCTGACCATAGCGTGGTGCGCCGTGTTTTTGCAGCGCTCCCACGGAGTGCCCATTTCCGTGTTGCACAGATCAACGACGGATTTCAGCCAAGCGGCGCAGTTCTTGAGGGTGTCAACTGTAAGGAGTGCGAGGAAAACGTAGTGGACGCAGCTTTTGAGGGCAACTACTCACTGATTGCGATCAGATGCTCTTGGATGCGAAGTAGCACCACCATGGCCTGCTTAAGCACCCGGCGCACTTCCTGGAGCAACAGGTCCACGGCCAACTGGATGGCATTTACCGGCTCCAGGATCACATCCAACATCTGGCCGAGCGCCTGGCGCAACAGCTCCTGACCGCAGGCAAGACTGCGAAGCATTACCTTCAGGTTGGCTAGGATGTTGGCCGTGGGGCCCACGGCGGCCAGGACGAGCGCGAGGCTGATGAGGAATGCCCTGCCCCGGGAGCTGCACAGCGAGGGAACGGCTATTGCCAGGATGCACCTGAGGAAGCAGTTAGGAAAGCGTGGTTAGCCAAACTCTGGCCTCTCATCCCCATCAGTTACAGTTACCCACCTTACTGGTCGGCTGTAGAGAAGCATCAGGACAGTCACCAAAGGAATCGCGAAGGTCAGGTTAATTCCCAGGTTGAAGTGTCCCAGTTGCCAAAAGTTCCATGCGAGTGTCATCACGAGGCCGGTCACGTAGCCAAGAAGCACATACGGCGCCATCAGCTTGAATGTCCACAAGGCACTTGGTCTTGTTGCTTCCATTTTTATAAGTATTTACTTTTGTTTATTTGTGTGCTTATAGATATCAAAAGCGAAGCGGTATTCGTCCCAGCCTATCGGGCATTCGATAGACGATAAGTGTGACCACCCTTGGTCACAGCAATAAGGGTTATACTCGTTATCGAATATTGTACAAATACAAAATAGACTTTTCCCACCGTACAACATTTCGGTCTTGACATTTCCTCGGGTTTTCAAGAGTAATGTTTAAAAACTTGGTAATTTGAAAACTTGACGCCCTTTTCGAGTTCGTTACAAGTTTTCTGGCCCTCTTGAATGGCAGACCGCTTAAGCTATCCCGCCCAAAATAAATTCTAAACTAGATAATTTCCTTCTTTTTTCGCTTTCGCTTTTTCGATACTTTTATTTTAAACAACACTCATCTTCCTCCTCCTCCTTTCTTTTTCAATTAACAAACAGTGCCCTTTTTGTTAGATATATATAATGCAGTTTCGTCACATGAACTGAGCAAATGTATCTTTAGTTTATCAAGCTTCGGCTTGATTTTTTTATTGTGGATGAAGTAAAGTCTTTCCAATTTTCGGGTTTCCGGTGCAAAAAAATACAACGTTGCAGTCTAGATCCACTATTCAATTCTTTTTAAAGGACCACTCCATCAGAAATATTACTTTTGGATAGTGTATCTGATACTTGCAAGGTAATTGAATTACGTTTACGTTTAAGAGTTCTCGATAAGGCTCTTTCTCTTATATAACTCAGTCTAGCACCCCTAGAATTGATAAAACGGTCGATCCGCCTCAACTGTCGACTTTATCAATAATATTGATTCAATATACAATTGGAGTTTAATGTAAATTTATGTAAATATTTATGTAGTACACGATATTATTACTGTTGGTAATTGTATACTGCTTATTACATAAACTGTGTTGAATATATATTATTATGCTGGACTAGAAAATTTAAAAATTCAGGATCGAAAACAATAACAAGTATTTAACAGTCAAAAGTGCACTTAAAACAATGTACCCAGTACTCAAAATAAATCGTATACAATTGGCCCGGGAGAAATAAATACATTTAATGACATTTATGTTTGTGTTTTCAAGAATGATCTAAACGTCTATTGAATAACTAGGCACTTTTTCTATTTCATAGATCTTCGTTTAATCCATTCGTCATTTTTCTTACTTTTTTTGGATAAAATAGCTTAAAGAGAAATGAAATGAAAAATTGTTCATTTAATTTCTGGTACTAATAGAATACTGTAATTTTGGGAATACCCTCACGTACCCCCTTGTTTTGAAACACACATAATTTGTAATTTATTCAAATTTCAAACAAAAATTTCGAGTCTGTAGCCTTTGCTCACGAAACTCTCTCCTCTTTCTCTTAGGTACTGCAGCACAAAAGAAGGGGTAATGAACATCTGGTTTTTCTTCGTGTATTTGCTATGGTTAGTTTCTTTTACTTGTCGAAACCTATTCGTAAGTTTTCTTGCTTGTTTGAAAAGTTGGGTGAATAGGAATGGGATTCGCTCACCAAATATCCAATTGGTTCGATATTGCCAATTCGTGTAACCAAACAAACCGAAATGAAAACAAATTTCTTTAAATTTTGTGGTTTTTGAAATGTTTTTGTATTTTTAATTTTTCTTTAATGATACGTTCTTTCTGCTCGATTTGATTTTTTTTCCAATGTAGTTTACGCATATTATAATTTTTATATTTTAACTTGTTTCGCTTCTTGCCGTTTTTGTATATGGTATTCATTTATAGATATTATATAATTTCTTTAAATATTTATTTTACAGTTTTCTCACTATTAGTGGTTTTTCTTTCTATGACATCTCGCAATAAATCGTAATTTTCATTTAATTTAATTAATTGTATACTTATGTAAGTGTGTGTGTTTGCATCTTGCGTTAGATTTATTTTACTTAATGTTAGCAAAAATAATTTACTTAGGAGTTACAAACAAATTAAATTAGGTTTATATTTATATCGACTGCCGAGGCTGCTAATCGCTGCCACGCCCAAAGGCGATATGTATGTACAAAATGTATTTTTTGCTTTCTTTCAACTTCGGTCCTTACTCTACACCTCTGCTCGTCTCTTATTCTCTATATCTTAAGTCTAGGGATGGGAGGGGATGGGCGATTACAAAATTTAACTAATACGCGCGAGTTTTAGAAACTTTTCTCCAGTCTGTCTTAAATCTATTACACATTACACTGTATAAGACTTGTTTTACACACTCAATTGGAAACGGGTATCGACAAATGACCGCGATTTCTTGCAAACTTGGGTCTGTTAACCACCGGCCGTATTGGAAAGCCAGCCGGGGTATGAGTTTCTAGTGGCGGCTCTTACTAAATAAAAATTAAATTAAATTTGAAATTCGTTCTTTCAATAGGGTTGCAATTAGAGTAGCTCAAGTCTTATACATTTCTTCATAGGGCAAATAGGTAAACGAAAAGCATAATGACAATGATAAGTAATGACAATTAGCGTAGTTCATTAGATTAGAATTAACTAGAAAGCTGGGCGGAGGAGCTGGAAAAACATCGATGCTCGTAGATGTTGCATTGATGGTTTTCGGGCACCTTACCTCCGGTCTTAGGCTCTTTTTGCCGTGCGCAGATATAGCTTATATAGTTCTTTACATAGTTACATTTGTTTACAAAATTTACATAACATCTACGCGATATTTGTTTTGCCACCATAACACAGAAATACAAATCCCACTTCTCCATATCATATATACAGTTTTCACACATTTTTCTAGTAATTCAAAAATTAAATACGGCTTTCTCACCTCCATCGATCTGATCTGCATCTCGATCTTACCCAAGTTCGATAATTTATTTAAATTGTGACTAACTACGCGGTAAATACGAATATATGTGTATTCATGTGTTGTATATAAATATTTAATTTAAGTTTCAAATTGAATTTACTTAGCCGTTACTGATGTATTTAACTTTAGATTAGTTTATATTAAAGTACTATTCTCCACCCTAAGCACAATATAAAACGAAAAACAGAAATTGGGTTCTAATTAGCACTAGAGACACGATCATTAGTTCCTCTTTATCACCTATGCCTACTGCCATGCTTACTTCTATACCCTCGCGCTTCTCCATCGCCACCATCGCTTCTTTTGCACTGAATTTTCTACTAAATTATAATTTAATTTCACATTGCTACAACTTGGTTTCCGTTCACTTGGACGCCGTCTTCTTTCTAGGGGACGTTCCTGTTCTGCTGCTGCCCAATGTTCTGGTGTCGGACGCCGTAGATGGCTGGGGAGCGTTCACGGGCGAACTGCGTCGCGCCGTGGGTGAACTACTGGAGGAGGCTGCGGAGGAATTAGAGGTGACCGCTAAGCTATTGCTGCTGCCGCTCGAGCATGACGCTGCAGATGCGGACGTGGAGGAGGAGGAGTCGCCGTAGGACAGCTTGCGCATATTCTCAATGGCCTCCGACCAGTGGATGGCGTAGCCCTCGGGATCGTCCAGGTAGTAGGTGCGATTTGGCTGCAATGAAGCAAAATAGAAGGGAAATTGGTTAAGCTTTCCGCCATAATCATTATCTTCGTTGCGTGTGCAGTTTTCAATGCCGCATTTAATTTGTTTTCATCGCCAACACGTGCCGGGGCCATAAACTGGCGCTCAAATGTTTTTTGTTTTTGTCTTGCTTTGGTTGGCGACTAGAGACAGAGCTACTAGCTGTGATGTCATCGTATCAACAAACATATGATATTCCGTACCTCCCTAATCCAAAAACCCTTGGCAAACACTTACCGTGTGAACAAAGAAGATCTTGAAATTCTTGTACTCGGCACGAAGCTCTGGGCTCCATGGAATCTCGCCCTTCTTGATCATCTGCACAGGGTCGATATAGATAAGTCGCGGTCCGGTGGTCAGCAGAAGCATTCGCTTGCGGGCGAAGAGACCTTTGCGCTTGTTCACAAATCCCTTCTTAAGGATCACCTCGCCGTCGGCGAACACGTGCCACTTGTCAGTCTTCTGCTGCTCGAGGCGCTGTAGCTTCTCGGCATCACTCAGGTCAAAGGAGTCTGGAGAGAGACGAGGAATTGGTTAGTCAATGACTTAGTTTGGAGTACAGGGTATGGGATCACTTACTCTTTGCGGTCGATCGCTTGGCGGGCATGGCCACACTGCTGCCCACGCCCAGTTCCGCGCTGAGAAGTCGCGATATTTGCCGCTCATCGAGGCCCGGCTCCAAGTCCCCGGGCACGCTGTAACTGGAACGGAAGTCCTCATCCTGGCTCACGCCCGGTAGGTACGGGTAGATGGGGGGCGGGGTCTGCTGGCGCAGCGTCTGCCAGTCGATGCCGGCAAAGAAGGGGTGCGCCCGGATGCTCTCATAGTAGCCGAACTCGTCCTGAGCACCCAGACGGTCGCGCGGGTCAATCTGAAGGAGCTTGCGTACCAGATCCTCCGCATCCTTGTCAAAGCCCTGCGGGAAATCCACGGCGCAGTCAAGGATTTCCTTAAAGATGACATAGTCGTTGCTGCCGCGGAACGGCGGAAGGCCAGAGATCATTTGGTAAACGATACAGCCCAGCGCCCACAGGTCAGCCGCCGGGGTTATAGGTCCGTTCTGGAGAACCTCCGGTGATACATACTGGGCGGTGCCCACGAAGCTGTTCTTACGGCGACGGTTGTACCGCCTCTGGTGGTGACGCGGCGAATCCATCTCCTCCTGCTGCTGATGCTCCTCGAAGCTCTCGCCATCGTCCAGTTCCTCCGAGTCCCGGTCATAGTACTCGTCGTCCTCGTTGTCCAGCCGATCGCTGTCCTCGTCGTCGTCGTCCGAGTGGCTCCGCCGCTGCTCTGAGCAGTGCTCCGTGGCCAGCTCCCGTTCGTGGGGCGTCATTACTTTCGCGGAACCGAAGTCGGCGATCAGAGTGTGCATGTCCTCGTCGAGTAGGATGTTCTCCGGCTTGAGGTCACGGTGCACCACGTTGCGGCGGTGCATATGCTCGCAAGCCAGCAGCAGTTCGGCTGCGTAGTGGCGCGTGCAGGCCACGTCGAAGCTGCCCACGCGGTTGATGTACGGCAGAAGGTCGCCATTGCGAGCGTACGTCATCACAAAGTAGAGGGAGCGCTGGTCCTGGAAAGTGCACGACAGGTTTACGAAGCCGGGAACGTTGGTCATCTGGTGCATAACCTCGCGTTCCCGCTTGATGTAGTCCTGCTTCCCTTCACGCAGGATCAGCCGTTTTTCGCATACTTTGACTGGAAGGAGAAGAATAGAAGAGTAGATGGTTTAGACAAGAGAGCGATTTCTGCTTATTATATAAGGCAGTTCTGAGTTCGCACCAACATTACCGTAAGAATAATTTATAGGCAAATAGAAGATATGTATGTACATATGTATGTTTTCAGAAGATATTCGATTTATTAAAGATCAGTTAATTATATTTCTAACTTGAAATTAAACATACCTTAATTTGGTTCAGTGGAGCAAACTATCGATAACCATAAGCCCGACTTGAATGCCAAACCACTTTTTACTTGCGGGAACTGCTCTTGACAACAACAGTCCCAAAGACAAACACCAATGCAAGTGAGCATTAAATAATTCTAATTAAAAATGCGACATATAAGCACACAGAATGTACGCGTGAGAATAATAAAACAGCTCACACATGGAAAAAGTTTTTGGCACAGGCGACCAAATTGTCAAAGGCCAGGAGACTTCCTCCCACAATTCGAATTTGGTGAGTCAATTGTACTTTGCTTGAGACTATTTTGTGGTCTGGTCAGAAACAGAGCTCTTAGTGCTATCCCTGTCGCACGCCTTTATTTGAGTGATTTATTAAAATTAATGCAGCGGGAGACAGAAGGGAAATAGGCAGAGCGGGAAGGGCAAGGAAGATAGCGAAAAGAAGGAGGAATTCAGAATTCAGCTCAAATTGCTAAATTAACAGCGAGACACAAACGAAAGCGAGCGCGCTTAGAAGAAACTTGTTTCTTCCGTCCCTTTTTCGCTGGTCAGAAAACCAAAGCTTGGAGCGAGATAGAGTGCACAAAGCTAAATAAATTCTAAACTGGTTGTTGAACTGGAACCCGCGGAGAGAGGAAGAGGAGCATGGTGAACCATGCGAAACGGGGTTTTAAACCTGAGCCCGGCTTCCTTGTATCCCTTTCCTTCACTTGCGGGGTTAACGGTGATTATGTGAAGAGTTATGACCGCTTATCAGTAGTTGTTTCCCCTTTTGTTTCTGCTTGCCGTTATTTTGTTTTCCAATCGCCAATCCCGCATTTTGATTGACAATCAACGGAAAATCACAAATCTTTTCAACAAGGCTAAAAATAATAAATTAGCCTCAACCATATCTGCCCACATTTCATACTATCACAAATCTATAGACAAAAATAAATTTCAAGATAATTTTGCATTTTTTTTTTTGTGCGGGTCCCTCTGTTAAGATCAAAACAAAACGTTCTGCCAACAACTATTCATGGGAGAAGTGGGGAAACAGAACAGAGAAAAATCAAATAAAATAAAAAATAAAATTGGAATCTAGTCTAAAAAACGTCGAGGGGCGATAAGTCGTCGGTCGAGTGGCAACAAAATAAACACAAAGAGGAAAAGCAAAATACAGCAATTAAAAGATTAACAAAGCCCGGCGGCAGCAACAACAAAAAATTCAAGGAATCAAAAAAGAAAAAGCGAAATGTGTTTTATGCGTTTTAAATTTCCCATTCGATAGAAAAGCCAAAAAGTGCGTAAAAATAAGATTGACCTTCAAAAAATTGTTGCGCAAATTGGTGTGTGTGTATGAGTGGGATCATCGCTAGATGCGATCCGATTGCAAAAATAGCTCTATTTGGCCGCTTTTGGTATTTTTCTTCGCTTTAATTGAAAAAGTCACATTATTTATTCACTCGGCTCCACTCTGATATTTTGTTTTTTTTTTCGATTTTGGTTAGGTTTAATGGCCCGCTGATAAGCATAGCCTTGAACTTGCTGCCGTTTTTCTCTTTTTTTTCACTGCCTTGCAGCATGTGCTACAACAACAAAAACAACAGCTCCGTAAGTAAACACACATAAATAAACAGCCAGCAACCAGCTGCAGAGCCATGAAAAAGTATTAAAAAAAAAAAATTAAAATAAAAAAAAACGGCGCAAATTCGCCGTCTAAGCATAAATATTTGCCCAAAGCTCGCTCTTGTTTTCAGTGTTGTCACCTCGGCATTTTTTCCCGCTAAAATAGCGATATTTAAGAAGATGTCTCGTCCTGTTTCCTTGACATGTTTTCGTCATTTCGTAACAATAAAAAAATTTCCCGGGCCTTTTTTCGCCATAACAACGGGAAAAAAAAACAAATCGAGCGGCGGCAAAATGCTTATCAAAGGCTAATCAAAGCACAAAGTGCAGAAAACAAAAACAAGAGAGCTGAAAAATGCAACTTGTGGTGCTGCAAGGAATGTAATCCAACGGGTTTTAGAATGGAAAAGCGAGACAGAGCGATAATGCCATAAAAACAACACCAGCTACCAGCGAGTCATTTTGACAAAGTCGATAAAGCAGTGCTTCGCTAAAGCAGGACAGACTTACAGATTCTAAAAATAAACCCAAATAAAGAAGCTACAACCTCATTGTAATTGCAAGTTGTTGTTGTTGTTACTTCTGCTGCTAGAGGACAACGACCAAAATGAGACAGAAAACATGATGCAGTTAAGAGAGAATTTTTAAGAAAGAGTCTCTTAGCCTACACTTGGGAATTTACTATACCTATGGATAAATCGAAAAGCAATATTTTCTCCGAAAGAAGTTCAGTTGGGCTTAGAGATATGATTTTTTACTTGTTTTTTGACAAAGATCTGTGATCTAGACATTTAAGGAGTGTTCTACTTCAAACTATTGGGACCAGTTTTTTTCTGAGTGGAAATCGCAAGGCCGTCGGGTGGTGAACAAATGGGAATGAAACACAAGAGGTGCTTGAACCAAAGCCGAAAGAGAGCTTGAGTATCTACGGAGATCTTGCAGGGGAAGTATTTTCCCCAAAGACTAGGTAACAGAGCGGAGATCTGATGAGGGTGGAAAGATGGAGAAACAACGCGTTGTACGACCACCAGGTGAGATCAGCCCAAATTTGGGGAACCAGACGCGACAAAATGTAGCCCCCCCTTACCATAAAATTGGAAATTGGCCTGGCGGTAACTTTGTTGTTCTGTTCCTTCGATTGTCGACATAAATCTAACACAAAATTCACGTTCTCGCAGATCTACTTCAGTTTCAATTAATTGGCCCCCATTAGGGAAATCAATGACGTAACTGGCGGACGCTTCGCCAAAACTCATTTGAATTTGGTTCAAACACAAAGAAGTGGGGAACAAAACATAAAAAAAATGAAAGCAAAAATAGAGACGCAAAATAGGCAGACCGAAATGTGACCAGGGGGACATTCAATAAAAAATCCACCCAGGTAAACAAAAGCAAAAGGCAGTGAAACGAGAGTAAGAACGGGAGAAAAGAGCCTGCAAAAAAGAGCCTGGTTTTCTGAATACAGTGGCCGCTGGCACATAAAAGCTTATCGTACGGCATTTTGAATTATTGAAAACTAACACTAATTAAAACTAATCACTTAATTCATTTTAGTTAAACAATTCAAATGGAGTTTTCTTGAACAACATTGATCGGATGAATTTAACTTCCCTGTTAGTTATAATTTAGCTGCCTTGACTGTAATCCTGCTTTGGAGTTGGCTTTTTATGTGTGTGTGTGCCTCTTTTTATTTTTATTATTGTTGGTTGTTGCTCCTCTCGCTTGGCTAGCAAAAGTTTATTGCCCTTTTGGAGCTGCGGTATTACTCTATATATTGTTGGGTGGATTTGACGACATATTGACTGCACGCAAAGGATTTTGAATACAACTGTTAAACAGAGACAACTACGATGCGTGTGTTTGCGTGTGCAATAAAAATAGAGGAGTAGGAAGGCAACAAAAAACATTGCGCGGACTCACTTGCATATCTTTTCTTCCTGCTTTTTGAGCGCGACTTCCTGGCGCTATTTAGTTTCGGTCATAAAGCGTCAGGGGGTCCAAGAGACGGCCAAATGTCCTTGGCACGTGCAAGAGCCACCCAAACCACCTACCCACCACAACAGCTGTTGCATCCATAAAAAAAAAAAATACGGAAAGCAAGGTGAAAAAACAACAGAATTATGAATAAGCCTGGGGAAGAAGGATTCCGGCGGCAGAAGTCATTATGGGTTGAATGACCCAATTCCCCGGCCCAATATCATATTACGGAGCTGAGAAAAAAACCCCCTCTCCCAAGGAGCGGCTATTTCAGTTGAATACCCTCAGCCTCAGCCAGCTGCGACTGCGCAGCAGCAGCTGCTGTCCAAAAATAAATGTGTAATTAAAAATAACACGACGGAAAAAAGTGTATAGACGCACAAGAAGACATGAAGCTCGAGGACCAAGGGGCCCAGGCAAAGGTGAATGCAAAGAAAATACCAGACAGCAACCCCCAAGAAAGAGTCTGGACGGATGGAGAACTGGATCGGAAACTGAAACGGAGCGGCAGACTCGATAAGAAGGGCAAACGAGTTCGAGTCTGCGTCTGCGGGTTCAGAGGCCGAAAAAAAGAGGCGGGGATTGCCGAGTACTCGGAAAATGTTAAAAAATCTAATTAATTTTAATCCCTATTCAACATTTTCTTCAGAACAACAGCTATTCTAAAATTTAGCAACTGAAAATATGTTTTTTTGCAACATGACTTCGTTTTAAGAAGTCTGGCCTTACTACCAACTATAACTGTATATCCGTTCATCTCACTTTAGGAGACTCTATATTTAAGAAATTCCGGGAAAGTAACAGCTGTTGATCTTCCTTCTTTCTTAAGACGGTGACGTCTGCGCAAATGATTATTATTTGTAAGAGCACGTGTCGCCAAGAAAAATCTTCCATTGCGGGAATCCAGGTAAGTTGAAAATAAAGATACCCCCAAAAAATGGTTACGTATTGGTTGTTGCCATAGATGATGAAATAGCTGCGCAATGTGAAAAGCCTAAACCGAATTTCGTATGTTGTGCTTCGTAAGGCGTCGAATAGACGCCGCTGTCGTCATCGAACATGAAAAACAACAACAAAGAGGCGGACAAAGTGCGTAAGTGGGAGAAAGACAGGACGCATGAAAACGAAAACTGCTGGGTTCATCGTGAATTTGGGAGGTGGGTTTGTCAGTGTGTGCGTATGTGGCTGGCAGACAATTGTTGCTGGCTATGAAACCCATTCAACGGGGAAAAAAAAGAAAAGAAAATAAAATAAGATATGTAAGCAAAAAAAACAAACGTTGACCTTCCAACTAGCAGCCTCGACTCTCAATTGTAAATTGTTTGTCAATATTTGCTTGTATTTAGTGCAGCAACAACATCGGATTCAATGTCAAAAGTGCAAACTAAATTTGTTTATTAATTTCACGCGTGGGGGAAAAACTTGTGTGTGTGCGCTTCCTATTTTTAAACAACTTGACTTTGTTATTATTGCCTTTCGTTTTAAATGCAATTAAAGCGGGCAGAACAACAATAACTTATCGCGTTCAGTGGAGTCTATACTTAAAGCAGGGGCGGAACTAAATGGAATAGCTCTTCATCAGCCTTAAAATAAGTAAATAAATAACTTTAGTAAACTTAATATCAACACAGTGAATATATTTGTTTGTACTATTCCCTAATCACTTTCCCCTACAATATTTCTTAATATCCCCTTGGATCCGCCCCTGAAAGCAAATGCAGTCTGATAGCCACGCGCCGTTATTCCCCTGCACACGCCCTCTCTTTTCCTCACCCGCCTTCTTTGCTTGGCTGTGCGTGTTTCTGCTGGCGTTAGCATTTATGCGACACGTGCCGCCCTCTTCTTGCTCGAATATTGATTTGCTGCTGCTGTGGCAAAATCATTGCCACCTCCCCCTTCGCTCACGCCCACTGAAAAGCACTGGAACAACTGAAAATCTTTAAGCAAATTGGCTTAGCACAAATAAACAACAAGGTAGAAAAATAAGTCGGCATAAATACACACTAGCGTCGTGTCGTTTGTATAAATATATGTACATACATATGTATGTATATAACCTCTAAAAACAATGCGACTAGAAATCTAGTGAACAACAACAGCTAACAGCTGCTTTTCAGACTGGCTTATTTGCCGTTTATTGAAATTGCAATATAAAACGGGGAACGGCATAACAGCTGATCAAAAGTGAGAGCACCGAGAGTATTCGCCAACTAACGTCAGCTTTCGGCTTCAATCGATAAACAAGCTAAACAAAAGCGAAATAAAACAAAAGACGGCGCGACATTTGCATTATCAGACTGATAACGACGCCAAACTGTGCTCGCCCAGTACTCGCCGATTGCGTTGACGTTTTCTGTGCCGGTTTTTTGGCAAACTGATGAAATTACCAATAACAAAAGGGTCACGTGAGCGTCCCACCAAATTTCTTGTTGTTTTCGTCCCTGGCATATTACATGATCGTCGACAAACTTGTCGCCTGCCAGCGAACACAAGCCGCTGTTAAGCTTTTTGGCTTATAAAAAGCTCTTTGAACTAGAGAAAGAAATAAACTAAACTAGAAGGAACCACCAAGCTGAAGTATGCTGACATTCAGTCCAAACAGTATTCGACACACCCACAGGAATACCCTGCTAGAAGACGGTTTCGCACATAATCGCATGTAGACGGCGATTGTTGGCAAGCCGAGCAGGTGACGGGCAGAACAGCAACAATGGCGTGGCGTCTACGTGGCGACCGCATTCTCGCGCTGGCGCCAAGCAGAGGCCAAACAAATGCCGTTCAAATGCTGTGGGCGGTCTTCAGTTTTAAAGTTTTGCGGCATATCGCCGGGTTGCTTATAAGATATATAATATATGTACAAAGTATACTGACAAAAGACTAACGTATAGTTCTATCTACCAAACTTTATAATACTTACTTGCATACTCGCGGCGCGAGTGAATATCCACCGCCAGATATACTATGCTGAAACTTCCCTCGCCAATGTACCGACCAAAAATGAAATCGTTTGGCGACCTTCTAGGCGCCTGTTGCGGCTGTTGCTGCTGCTGTTGTTGCTGCTGTTGTTGTTGTTGCTGTTGTTGTTGCTGTTGTTGCTGCTGTTGTTGCTGCTGTTGTTGCTGCTGTTGCTGCTGTTTTAGCTGCTGTTGCTGTTGCGCCTGCTGCTGCTGCAACATGCCCAACAACTGTAGAGAACTGTTCTGCTGCCTCAGTTCGGACAAGCCGTTCTGATACTGCTGCAGACAGCACAACTTGCTGCACTGCGGCGTTATGGCCACCGACGAACTGTTGCTGGCAACCGCTGCCGCCAAAGGCGAAGTGTGACCTACGAGAGGGAAACCAGAGCGAGAGAGAGAGAGAGAAATGGCGTTAGTGTCGAAGCAGCAACATGTTGCCCACGGGCATGATACGTTGGTAATGTCCTACAGAATCAGCGCATAAATAAAACATTTTCCAAAGATGTAAAAGCAGAAACCCGAAATTCATAGCTAATGATCGTAAGTAAGGGCAATGCAGAAATATACGTTTTTATAACATACCATTTGTCAGATACTTGTTGCTGCTGCCGTAGCGACTGTTGTTGTTATTCTCAGTGACTGCCGCTCCACAGCCGCACGTGTGTTGCTGTTGCTGGTGCAGTCTCGTTGCCGCCGCTGATGTCGCCATGGCTCCGACGACCACGGCCAGTTCCTTCAGGTTGAGATCCCCGAAATTAGGCTCGCCCAAGGACACAGGTGCTGAGGCTTTCTCCTTGGCCATAGCCGGCATTGTTGCCGCTGTCGCCGATGTTGCTGTAGTGGCAGCAATGTTGAACTGCTGCTGCTGCTCGACGCTATTACTGCTGCAGTGGTCGCTGCAATCTGTTGTGCTGCTGCTGCTCGAGGCGGCTGCTACCGAGACGACTGCGGCCGCTGCGATTCCGCTGGCGCCGCTACTTGGCGATTGGAGCTGTTGCTGTGTACCGTTAATCTGCGAAGACATAGACGGGAATATTTATGATTAGAATGCAGTCAAAAGATTGTGGAATATGATGATTTAGTTGAATAGCATTTCTGGCCAAATCAAATAAATTAGATAATGATGGCCCAATTTGTTCATTATAATTGTTAATTTTCTGCCTTAATAATTCCAGTTTGAGAGTATTATGCACACATGCTTGCAATTTAGTATAAATAATTTATTCCAGATTTGATTTCGGAATATTGATTCGTTGCTGATCTGTTATATCCACTTGCCAGATAGCTAAATTAGTCAGCGATGGACGGCTGACGCCTGTAAAAAAATAGTCTCTTGTCTTTTATATTGACCACGAGTTCCCACTATTGATATGTTTATAAAAAAAAATACCATATCTTAACCCCCATAACTCACTTCCTTTCAACTAATAATCAGAGGCTTATATTGAAAGAGGAATTGAACACGCAATAAATAAAGTTTCTGCTGCGCAGCCGCAAAGCCTCCGAACAAACAGAAGAGGAAGAAGAAGAAGCGTAAGACGGGGCTTAAAAGCGGAACTCAAGAACAGGTCCACAAAAGGCAGCAGCAAAAACAAGAACAACCGACCGACAACCAGCAACAACATTGACTGTCTGCCCAATGGTCCGCCATTGACGTCAAGTTCATTGCCGTGTTGTTTTTGCTCTTCGCTCTACGCTTTACTTTGTGTGATTTTGGCGGGTTCAAGGACTTGGAGCATAAAATATAATAAAGTTCATTGCCACCTGTTTACATTTCTATTAGAAGTTTATGCTGTTGGACTTTGTCTTTGTTTTCGTTCGTTCGCTCGCTCGTTCGTTCGTACGTGTTTCTTTGTTGACCAGTTTTTCATTAAGCGAATCCAATTTCTGTGGCGTGATTTCTCAAGGAATTAAAGCCACGGGGGGAAGCCCTCAGCTACTACAGACCGCAGCCCAAAGTGTGAAGTGCTTAGCACATGAATAAACAAAGTGTGCAACTATACTACAGCAAACGTCAAACGCCCAGCTCAGATAACAAACGAAATATGCTTCAACCCAGATTATTAATTATGCAACAGACACACCATAAAATTAACCAACAAAACAGATGAAATTTGAATAAAAATCAAAAAGCAATAAAAACAAGGTGAGCAGATGCGTCAATGAAAGCAGGTGGCTAATTTTAGAGCCAAAGATTAAGATACGAATGCAACCAGGCCAGACTTTGGGTATTTAGTTATTCGGGTATTTAAGACCTGACCTGGGAATCAAGGCAAACAAAAGAAGAGACAATAAGCTTCGATCCACAATGATCGTCTGGGAAAGGCCCCAAAGGGCCCGTTCCTAAAACAGGTGTACTATCTACGGCACAACAACAAACTCTCAATGAAAATAGTTTTGGTCGGGGTCCGACGTGCGTCACTCAGATTGGAATGCGGTTGGTTTACTTTTTAGACACGCAGCACTCTCAAGTCCCAACCCAAATGGTAGTCTGAGAAATATCGGTCCTCGAAAGATACGGTCTCTCCCTCTCTATGTTAAGACATGACCTCAACAGTCCTCCGTGATACACCCACGAGCCAATGTAAACAAAATAAACATAGAAATTGTTCGGTATTTGAACTCTGCCGCTCCAACGCACAAAAAAAATTATTTAAATAAAGTTGCCAACCTACTTTTTTAAAAAAACTTTTTGGCGACTGCGAGGCTAATTAACCGACGATCTGCGTCAGCGGCTAAAACTGGTCAACCAATTGGTGAATGGCACAAAAAGCTATGAAAAAAAGCTTCGGAGGCCAAAAGCAAAACAGGAAATACCCAAAATTCCGAATTGTATTGTTGTCCATTACATGAGTTAAACCAGATTTCTACTTAACCGCGGAGCCGAAAACTTATTTGCATCGAGACGCAGGTTATAATAATGGCGATATCAAGAAGGTCCATAAAGATGCTGTTGAAAAATTTTAAACAATCTAGAAAGTTTCGCCAGAGTGGGCGTGTGCTGGGGCCAGAAAATCAGAAAAAGCCGAAGAACCAAAAACCATATGACACAGGTCCGAGTCCGATCCTATATATGCATCATGTGGGGGATGGAATGGGGATATATGTAACCGATCTTTAAACTTAGAGCAATACCGCCCGACGTCTCGTTGTCGGCGTTGTCTGCGGCGTCTAGACAAAAATGACATTTAAATTAATCTATTTTATTGCCAGGCCAACGCCGTTGGACGTTCTGCTGCCACCTCAGGCCAAACCGAACCGATCCCCCTTTCGCACGCCCCTGTGCCTGTGTTCAATTTATATTTATAAATAAGATTTTCGTCTACAGAATGCAGCCAATTGAAAGCGAACATGCACCACAAGAGGGGACGTTTGATTAGAAATAGCCAGAAGGGAGGGGGAAGCACCGAGGGATTCGTGTCTATCTCAAGGTATGCGGGCAAAGTTTATTGCGAAAGGAAAACCAAAACCGTACACGCTAAATATACACAATGTTTTTAATTTTGGCACAACATTAAAATGGAAAATTGCTGATAGAGACCACACACACGCAGTTTAGACACAAAATGGTCAAACTATCATTAGTGTTTTTGCTTAAAATCTTTACAATCTAGTTACCTACTAAATAATAAGATTCTGTTTACTCATTAAAAAATTTGCATTGGTTTAGTTCTCGATCGCCTTAGCAAATTTAAATTGTTCCTATTCGGAACTCACAACTAAGGTTTAACTGCACTTAACCACCAAGTTCCTGATAAAACCAGATAGTGCAAGTCCTAGCTACTAAGTGGGTGGGGCATTAACGCCTCGCTGGCATCAGCAGACACAATTTTTGTACACAAAAAGTAATGAACAATTCGCGGAAATTTTTCACGTTTTTTATGCCCGTCCTTCTTGACTTTGTATTTTTCGCCAACGCCTTTTGTTACCTCAAATCAGACGATAATTTTTTCCTTTTTTTTGACAAACCCACGAGGTATGTATTTTCATAATTTAGGCGGTTTTTCCAAGTGTGGTACGTTTTTTTAGATCGCTTAATACCTGCACAATACCTGCATAAGGTCCATTTTAAAAATTATGACTTTGTTATAAAAATTCGAACAGAAAATTTAGAGTTTGTGGTTTTGATAGACTTTTTTTTTTTAAAGCAAGGCCTGCTGTTTGTTAATTCAAAGTGTCTATCCAAATGTCTATTTACGGCGTTTTTAGTATTATTTCCTAGAATTATTGTCAAGTATATACTAAAACACAACTCAGCTATAGTAAAAATGCGCTTATGAATGAAAATGCACGCGGAGAGTGCAACAAAGAGCAAAACAAGAATGCAAATGCTTGGCTCTCGCTGACACACACACACACTTACGTTTACGCGTTGTGGCATCGACGATTACAAAACTATCTCTCTCTCTCTCTCTCTCTTCCACTCTCCTGGCTGCGTATACTAGGCGGGTGAGAAAGAACAGGATGGCAAATAGGGCCGCTCTCTGTTTGTGTATGTTGTAATTGCGATTTGGGGTACAAATTCCAATGGGCACACGCAGGAAGAAGAAGAACCAGCGTACACACACACTCTATAAAGCGCGCGTATTTTTTCGGCTCTGCGCGTGCCTTTGTGTATATGTGTGTGGGGTTTCAAATATTAATTTTTTGCTCGTTTTTATTTTTCACACTCTCGTTTTTGTTTTTTCTTTGCAGAAATTAATAATCTCACTAGTATATGTTTGTTGAAACAAAACACAAAAATTCTACAGGAATTCGCCAGAAACAACAACAATAACAATAACCAAGACAATAATTCCGACGCAGTAGGAAAATTTTTAAGAAACGGAGACGTTGTTTTTTTTTATAGGAACTTTTACGCTTTATACGTTTTACTATTTTAATTTGACTAATGAAAACAATTGGTTATATATTTTGAACACAACACGGAGGACACTTATTTTGATTCCGATTTTATGTAATTTGTTTGGCCTTTTGTGGAGTATTATTTAATCGCAACACACACATTTATATATGTATATCAATGCCAGCGCGGTGTGGGTGTGTGCGTGTGCGTGAGTGGAGCGCCGCGTGCACGAAGCGTCCGGTTTGAAATCCAATAAGCAAGTGACTTCCATTCCGCAGTCTCGCGGTCTGCGACGCTCCTCGCTCTCTCGTGGACGCAGTGGAGCCGAGCGCCACACGAGAGAGCGACTGCGCTCTCCCGGTGCCCTATCGCGCTCTCTCTTTCTAGCCCAGTTAAATGAGGTCGCAATTTTTTACAAGGCGAACAAGTTGCGCGCCACTTTTGAGAGAGTAATTGTTGCACTGTAATTGTTTGCCAGCGACTTTTTATAAAAATAAAGAAGGCGAAAACGTGTTCCCATCCAAATTTATAAAAGCAAAGAGCGCGAACTCCCGCTCTCTTTTTGTGTAAGAGAGCGCGGGAGACCGCATTCCTAACTGTAAACAAGCAAGAAGCAGAGACAGCGATAGAGAGCGAAAGAGATGGGGAGAGGGAGGGCCAAGAATGCGGCGCTGCTGGAAAAACTCGTTTTTCCCGCTGGAAAATGTGGACAAAAAAGAATTTGAGGAATTTTCGCGAGAGAAAGAGAGAGGTGTAAAAATAAACAAAGCAAAGGGGGAGGGGAAAAGGAATACACACAGAAAAAAAAAAAACAAGGAAGTGGAAATGAAAGGCAGCAAAACAAAATGCGTACAAAGCGAAGAGGCAGATGAGAAAGGGGGAGACGTAGTAAACAAAGAGAGCGACGGCAACTTTAAATGTAAATAAATATTATAAAATATGTATGTGAGCAGCGAGTGAGTGTGTAACAACAATAATAATAATAATAACAACAAATCAAGCAACAGACATGCAAGTGAAAGGTGTCTGCGTTTTGGTTTCTTTCCTCTACTTCTCGAGTTTTTTGCAAAAAGGAAACGGCAAAACGGCAAGTGGTCAAGAAGAAAAGTTGTGATAAAGAGGAAGAAAGGTGGAGAGGAGAGCAGAATAAAATCATCAGATTTGGCTGATTTCAAGAAAAAATTAAATAAATAAATAATTTATTACCCCTGCTGCTAATAAAAAGAAATTAAAAGTGTAAAGGAAGATAAGTTATTGTCTAGAAACCAACTGAATACAAAGAAAAATAACCTCTGCCACCAGCATGAAAACATTTTTTATGTATTTTTTTCGATTCGTTTTTTTTTTTAAATGGCAAATGGAGTTTAAGGCAATGAACTGCAGTTGTTAAATGAATTTTTTTAACTCCCGTCTGTCAAAAAAATTTGACATATATTATTTTCGTTGCCCAGGGTTTATTAGGGTGCCAGCCAATTAATTATACTCATCCACTGCCTATTAATATTGATATATATTTATACATGCATTACTTACTACAAGCATATCAACTTCATCTAGATGAGTTTTAAAGTGGTTTTTCTATAGGCAGCCATTGTATTATTTTATTTTAGTGGGGACTTTACGCCAATGGAAACTTTTAAAATCTAATATAATTCAACGGGATCCTCACAAATGATGTATATTTACTTGCTACAGATGTGGTAGACGAACAGGACAGCATATATTAGCACTTTCTTTAAGTTTGACAAAAAATATAAGAAATTGTTTTGTTTGGCGAATTTGAACTTAAATGCTGTAGAAAAATTATTTTAATGTTGTTTTTTAATTTACACGTTACAAGCTGACAAAATTCTACAAGACTCGAGTTTTTTAGACCCTTTTTTTCCGGATGACAGTATTTTTTTTAAAGTTATTTTAAATGAATTTTTTTTATCCCAGAAATAAGTTGACAAAATCAATAAAAATGTGACAAACTTTAATTTGTCTACATAAAAAATTTAACTAGTTCAACACGTTAATTTTTTTTTCATGAGTAAGGTATACTCTATAACTTTTTTTTTTAAGATTAAAAGTTTTCCTTTTACCAAAATAGAATTTTAGTTGAATTGAGATTTTAAAATCTTGAAAACAGAGATCAAAAATGTATCTTGTTCATATAAATATTTCTCAATATTTTTTATTTTAAACATTGTATTATTTAACACGTTTTTAGTCAAAAAGTTCGGTTCTGTGTATTTGTTATATATTTTTCCCAAAAATTAGGCTCTTATTTTTCATTGTTTTTTTAATTACTTGATGGAATATTTACCTTGATGGACTTTAGTTTGCGCACAACGTAGTTGTTGAGTTTGTTGGACCAGCTTTTACATTTCATGGTATTTTTCGCGGTCTCCTCCGTTTTCGGGGAGGCAGAAGGAGCTGAAGACAACGGTAAACAGATTGCTTTTGTCAGCCGCTCTCCTTAATCATAGTTTCAGTTTCTTTTCACTGGTTTTTACACTAATTATTTTATTTGAGCTGTCTTGATTTTGCTGCAGCTTCAGTTTATTATTTACTTCTTCACTTGTTTTCCGCGACAATTGTAAAATTGCTTTAATTGTAAATCGTAAACACACGAACTCGCTTTTCTTTTTGGCGCGCTTGAAGGAATACTCAGCCAGTTGCCTTGCTACTCGGCCTGTTGTTGGGCTTAACTGGTCGAAATCAAATTTTGGAAATGATCCCTTCTGTTAATTTATATCACTCCTATATAGGATTGCCGCGAAGTACTATTGTCACTTCAGTTCGTCCGCACAGTAAACCAAATTCGACGACGACTGAAAATCGAATGAACTGACAAAGAGAACGATGTCTCGACGACTCAAATGGAATGAAATGAAAAAATGAACGAACGGGCCAGCCAGACAGCGCGCTAAAAGTACGGAACGCCAGCAACGGAACATGCACTGAAACGAGAGGGAGCTCTGGGAAAAGAGAGCGAGTTGCAGTTTTAGAGGATGCAAAAGAGATAAAATGAGGAAGGACAATGCAAGTACATAAGTGTGTTGGTAAGTATTTATTTATTGGTTTTTTTTATATATAGTTTTAAAATTTATGTTTTAAAAAGTGTTAGGCTAAGCAGATTAAATGATTAAACAATTGCCATACGGATAATGTAACTTTAATTAGGATCTTAAAAGTACTCATCGAAACTAGTCAAAACTGGAAGTGAAAAAAGGATATATTTCTTTAGCCGATTCAAATAGTAGGTTCACACCCTTAATATTATTGTTACTTAAGACTAAAAAAAGGGAAAAATAAAAGCATATCTATCAAATGTAAAAAAATATAGCAATAGGTGTTACATGTTATACATTTTATTGGCTATTTTCCGATATATGTACATATTTAGTATTTTATTTGAAATATAAAAAAAATGAAAAATTCAAATACACCTTGAAAAACCGTTATTTATTTCGAATTCACTTCAGTGAATTTGCTATTTGCAAGTCACAGTTCCGTTATTGCCGCGAATTGGCAAACGATTTGCGTTTTTTCTTTACATTTCGAATGCGCCGCCCATCAATTATTTATTTATTTATGAGTAAGTGACGCACTTGTTTTCCTTCTTTTAATTGCTTTTTTGCTGCAGCGGATGCCTTTTTTTTTGTTTTCCTTTTATTTATTTTTGGGGACTTTATCGAGATCTTTCCAAAATAAAAACAATTGTGAGTCAGTGCCACGCCCCCAGAATTCCTGTTAAAACTTTTACGGTTTTGTGGTTGCATCTTGGCTCTCTATCTGGCACTCCAGTTTTGCTGGAACTCAAAAACAGTTGGATCGTCAGTTGATCCGCGCTCTTAAGTTCCACACAAAAGCAAATGTCTTCCACATACATTCCACATCTCATTGAGATCGCCCGTTCCACGAATTCCCACCGTTCGCGCGCCTTTTTTGCTGTGTGTGTTGTGTATGCTAGAGTGAAAATTCACTTGTCTCTTTTCCCGTTCTCATTTTTACGTTTTTACTACGAAACCCAAGACGACTGTTAGAGCGAGATGCAGCGAAAACAAAACACAATTAAGGGGATGCGCAAACTGCAGTCGCTGCTCTGCCGTTGCCGCTGTTCTGCTGACGTCGACGTCGCCGTTGACGCTCTTTCATCATCAAGTTTTTCCCCCTGACGTTTGGTTTTCTGTTATTGCTTTTTTTAGTTTTGGAGATACAATTTTTCTATTGCTAAGTTTCGGTTGTTATTTTGCCTCCTTTCAGGTGTTTATCGCATAATACATTTTTTATTTGGTCCAAGATTGGGTTATTTGGACGAATTTTTGGACGTTTTTTTCTTTAAAATACATTTCATTTCATTTTTTTATTTATTTATATTTTTTTTTCAATTTTTTTTAGCTCAATTTATTTTATTTAACTGCTTACAACTGTTCTCTGGGAAGGTATCGATAAACATTAAATTTGAAATTTTTTTAACTTAATTGGCTTAGATAAAGTTCTTTTCTTATGTTTTATGTTGTTTTAAGGTATTACCGAAATTCTAAATAACAAATATTTCATAAATTGTTCTTGTATTCCTGTTTTCAATAAAGGCTTTACTTTTGGGTGTATCTTTGATGTAAATGCGTTTCTAAGTTATAGTTTTCACACCAAGTAAACTCATTTGCAACAAACTGAAGTGCATGAACTTTTATAAAATTTAAAATTATCTTTAAAATTCTGAAGAAGTTTTAGACAAAATTATTATAATTATAATTAATATAATTATAATTATAATAATTTACAACGGATTGGGTATCTGTAGGCTTTCCCAGTTTTATTTCTTTAGTTTTAAACACTGTTTTCAATAGTTCATCATGTGATTACTTTGGCACACTCCTCTTAGAGAATTTAGCACACTGATCACAATAAATAATTTAATTCAATTAGATTTTTCATACTTTATGCAGAGATTTGTCGTATAGTTTAATATCGTTTTGTTTTTGCTTCTGCTTTTAACATTTTCTGGCTAATTCATTTGTTAATGAGCAAACACACCGCTGTTGTATTTGTTTTTCGGATCTTGCTTTTAACTAAAAAATGTTTCGGAAATTAGCATTTTTAATGGGCAGCAAGCGAAGTTCGGCGAGACACAATGTCGCCTGAAAAACGAATGGAGGGGGCCCGAAAATATTTTTAAAATCTCCATTTGCATACACATTATTTGCGTTGCTGCTCAAAAATACTTAGCATAAAAAAATAATTTCTCAAAACTCCAGCAGAAATCGAACACG